TCTCGGGGTTTGCTAACAAGCATGGCGATATGGAAGGCCTGACAACATCGTAAGCAAGACATGAACAATACGAGCAAACGGGGAATGTACTTGAACCTTCCACCCTGTTTCTTAGAAATCTCCATGAGTTTGAAAGGCCTTACTTTTGAAGGAGTGCAAGATTGCGTTGTCTTCCCATCTTTAATGTTCACATTCAAGGTCATAATAGGGAACGAGCTACAGCCTCATATCTGATTTTTATTCTTCAATAATTTTGTCGTGACCATGAAGGGATAGGATCCAAAAGCCCAAGAAGTATACATTGGAAACTGTTATGCAGTGCATTTGATTTTTAGTTTAAGAGAATCAACTAAATAAGAGGCTGTCTAAAGCAATAGTCCGAAGGACGTGTTGCCAAGTGAGAGGTTAAGTAGGACCGATACCTATTATTTAGGCTAATACATGAAAATATTCAGTATTTAAGAGAGTGGGATAACATTTGAGGACTTGGGCCATAAAATTGGACGATGTGTTGGATTTGCTAGTAAATCCTTAACCATTTGTGAAGATCGAAGTAGTAGAAATTGAGAAACAACTTCGACATAGGTACTAAATCGAAGGCTCTCTTGTTTAACAATTCAAACACAATGTCAAAGGAGCCATTGGTATTCTTGCAGCATCATCTCGCCTCACACGAATTACTCCTCAAAATAACATCCGTCATGACACGATTCCGCAAGTCTGTGCATTAACTTGTCATATATTCTGTCGAACATGACCAGAATATTCTCCTTCCATCTCATGCAGAGCTTGTGTTTGCTTTTTAAACCAGTATAACAGGAAGCCTATGATTTCAGAAAATATAGCCTGAAATATGTGCTTTATTTGAAGCCTGTTTGAGCACCAACTTAAACCATCTCCAGTTTTTCTTTAGTTGCTGGTTTATTTTCATTCACGTACACAGTAATTGATATATTTGGTATTGTGTTTTTCATCATTTCGACCATTGCCAATTCCTCATGTTTGGTCTTGTAAATTGTTTTGGCTGCTGTAGAAACTGTACTTAAGTCTTGGCGTTCATGTTACATGGCATGTTAAATGTATTTTGTCTCCTGTTATGTCTACGTTAACCGCTTGGAAGACAGACAAGTAATTTTCCAAGAAAATTGTTCCCTCTCATATTACTCTCCAAATAAGATCAGAGTATAAAAGTCTTCGATTGAAATTTGATAACTTGCAAATTAGTAACGACATAAGGCTAGATTTTGATCGGCCTGTGCGCGTATATACATTATTAGATTTTATGGCCGGTCATAGACCTCAATTTTGGCGTACTTTTGCTGGTTGTATGAGTCCCCAAGTGATACTTCGTTGAGTAATTTGTTTTTCTTCATAATATCTCCCAATTCATTCAGTCAGGTTCAGTAATCCAAGCTCACAATAAACACGACATGTCTGAACACCTACAAGAGATCAGACATACCAGACTACAATCGACTTTAAATTTTGCGAAATTCTCGATGTATTTCGAATTTCACGTTAGTTTTCCACGGCCTGTCGCTATTCATTTCAAATTTTGCATTATCTTGACTGGCAAGAAATAGCTCCGTGTATCAGCGACTTGCTTGTGAAATTACGCAGTGTAAAGCATTATGTTTAAAGAAATTGTTTGGCATCCTTGGGACTTGTATAACGACGTACTGCTTGTTGAGGGGTTTTTATGAAATTAATCCGACAGAATGCCAACGAATTAAAAATTGTTTCCCTCCCGTGCAAGGGAAATCAAAGGGGCGTAAATGATGTTCAAAATGTATGCTGACTCCTATCTTCTAAGTTGTAGGATGAAATAGTGTCAAGCATGTGACGTCTTTGGCTGAGTGCCATCGTAGCTGATCCCAAGTCCCAAGAAAGAGTGTCGTCTAACTGTTACATGATGTTGGAATTCCAGCAGCAAAAGCTACTCTTGAACTGGCCCCGCGTGATGATGATTATGGAGACAATGCATGTTTCATTCCAGTCTTGGGGATCAACTTCGAGCACTCTAATTTTCAAGGGTTCAGCTTCATTAGCTGCGAAGAGTCCTTCAAGGCGCGTGATTATTGGGCGAAGCCTCGCTGTGTCTGCTCGTTCTCCTTCGTTCTTCGTCATTTCAACCTCTTCAATATAAATCAAGATGCTCCCTCAGATAGAAAATACTCCTGCTCGTTAAATCAAAACCGGCCTTCAGTCCCGACTTCCCCATGCTATTCTCTCGAATCAATAATTTTGACATATTTTGACAATGAAATAATTTGACGAACTTGAGTATTATGCACATTTTGAAATAGTGCTTTGGAAGACACAAGTGGAGAGATCGAAGTAGTGTTTAGATATGAACATTTGGTTTCTAACAAACAAAACTGTTAGTGTGTATGAAGAGGGGCTACCGGTGCGCATATGAATAATTTCATTACTGGATTCAAATGACCAAGGCTGTTCATATTTTGTACACTGTTGTGTTTTTAAGTGGTGTGCGTGCATACTCGCCAGGTACCCTTTTGGTCCAAATGACGATGGAGAGAAAATGTCTGTTGCATGAATTGAAAAGCAATATTTGGACTTACTGTGCTCGAAATGGTTCCAATTTGACTTCACCGGCTAGTAGCGAGATGATAGTGCTTTTCATTTCCTTTCATTTATGTAAAAATTGATGACGTAATTCACAGAATCAAATTCCATAAAGATGTAAAAGTTATTTCCTCAGTGGGTAATCTTACCAATGACTGCCCAGTTTCACTAAACAGGCTAGGACATTGTCTGTGAGGAACTTCAGTGTATAATTATCTTCGCTGCAGTGTATGACCTGATTGCAACGTTTGGCCGACGCCCGATTTGAAATTGGCAAAACTGCACTTACTTAGGTTTTTTGCCCCTGTAGATATGAGAAGTAAGTCTTTATTTTGCGATACGCTGAACTGGAGCAAATACAGTTTTTCTCAGAATTTGCCCGCTACCTTTAAGTCTGTACTTCCCCTAAAATGTTTTTCTGATTAGAATTTTGGTTTCTCAGTATCAAACACTTTATCTGTCTCGTGCAATTTCTAGTCAGCCGGGTATAATCCGTATCTAAAATGCCGAGAGCTAAAAATGCTCCCCGACCCTTTGGTAGAGCTATATCTGAGTATGTTTCAATTAATAGGTGCCTACTTCAAAAAATAACGCAGTGGGGATGAGAAAATAGAGAAAGAACGACGGCATGAATACATTCTTTACAAAATCTCAGTAGATTATGTACCTTTCTGTGACAAAAAGAATGCTTTCCCTGCAGCAGTTTGATCGAGATTACATTATTGTTTAACCTTGGTGTTGATTCTTTTTAAAAAGTCTCATGCATATGAAATGCAGTGATATAACATCGGTCAAGAATTACCATCAGCGAGAATATTTACATCCAGAGAATTTTTCAACTGTGGTTTCTAACTCTCAAGTTTATGCGAAGGGACAAGTTTTTAATTATTTTATAATCTCTAGCCTATGAAAAACGGTAGTTCTCAAATTCTGGAAATTTCGTTCGTCTCGATTAAATGTCGATTTTTTAACGACGCAAATCTTAAAAATTTCAAGATAGCTGAGGTTTGGTTTTGTAAAAAAAATCACTCCAATATAGATGTATTCAGTGTAATGTATTATGCCTCTCGAACATTTATTCAAATAAAATTTGATGTTTACATACCCTAGTTGTGATACGTAATGTACTACGTCTTCCTTCCAAACAGTATCAATGGTTTAGTTCAGTGTCAATTCTAGTCAAAATTTCACGTAGTCCCACTTCGCACTTCCACAAACGAGGGTTATTATCTGTACAGTTGTTAATAATTTACTACGTCACTCGTGTGACCTAAAATGGTGTGACTTCCTTTTAGTGAATGATCTCCGTTTTGCAATATTATACGTCGTCGTGATCAAAGAGTCCGAAATCAGTGACGTTCCCAACGCCTTTTCATTTAACGGAGAAAATGTAAATGTTTCTTGAAAAATCTATTTACATTTTCTTTTGCGATGGTAGTATTATCGAGCGATTCTTTCAGATCAAACAATAATAAGTCTATTTATTTGACTGCCGTGGCGTTTTGCTAGCTCGATTATCAGTAGCCTCACGGATGGGTTGGAGACTTGGTAAAATTTCCTAGGGGAATATTGAATTGCAAAATACTCTTGCCACTAAAACTGGAAATTCCATCTCACTTCTGTGAAGCGAAGGATTCCCCGGACAAAGACAATGGAGAATTTAATTCATAGGAAACTCCACGCAACCAAAATGAATATCTAATGCGCTACCAGGGCACATCAGGTGGGATTTGAACCTGGATAAATCAAAAAGTGGAGGGAAGCGAGAGCACCACACGACGGGGAGGGTTGGTGCTCGGATGAGCATCTACGCGGTCTGTTTGTAGTCTTACTAAGTATTGGTCTTTTAATCAGTCTCGGCTCTGTTGCTACAACACTGTAAGTATTCGTATTTCTGTTCTTCTTGATGCTGACTGCATTAGAGTAATAGCGTTACTTTGTTAACCGTGGAATCCTGCATCAACTTAGTAAATGCGTAAATAGTAAAAAAATCACCGTCAGCACTGTTATGTACCAAACGTGGGGCATTTTCTCCCAAACATCACGTACACAATGAATTTGGTTTATCATTTCTATCATACGATTCGGGCTTCTTATCTGGTCTGTAATCAAACCCTTTGGAGTAGCTTTTAATGTATGAAACGATCCTCCGTTATCTGCTTCATCGGCCCCGTTGCATTACTTAGTGACTGTACCGAGTGCTCTCAACATCTTGTGCAATGGGACACGTATACTGGTGTATTCATTTATGGCAAATTTGACAGACCATGATGGTGACGGGAACTTTTTTGCAGAATAAAAGTATATTTAATGTGTACAGAATAAATGAAAATGAAGATGTTAATTAATTTAAAGATTAGTTTTAGATAGGCAATATAAATGTCAACGAATTCAACACACATCTGACCAACACCTTTGCATTTGTTTCAAGTTTATTACAATTCAAGTTCCAGTATCATTCCTATGAGGGAGTCACTTTTAATTCAAACCCCTCAAAATGTGTAAGGACTACACATGGATATCTCAGAGCGACTCGCACTTTCAGGAATCACTAATCTATATCACAATGTACCGATCCCAGTAATATTGAAATCTCACTTTGGCCATCTACCCAATTCAATAAATTTTGATGCATATTTACAAAAATGAGGCAGATATTTAGTTGAGACGGTCTTTGAGTTCATAATAATGGTTGTGAAGTCAAGAAAGGGGAGTATTACTACATACGAGTCCAGACAGAAACCTAGAGTGGCAGGAAACATTTTTATCAGATATAGGAAGTTACTATTCAACGGCATATCAACCCGAAGTGGTAGTCGCTATTTTGGTTATGGAATAGTACGATATTCGATTTTTAAAGACTTAAGCTTTCTGACAGCTACCAAACATATGCAACGATGTAGAAATGTACGTACAGGTAGATTAATGTCTGTAGTCTAGTTGCTTTACAATTCATTATGGTCGACACTTCTCCGATCACCGACGTTACATCGGCTGGATACCTTTCATATACATGTACTTCATCCGTTCATCGATGCATCGAATTAGAAGCCAGAGTTATCACCATCAAATTGGCACAGGCACCTTCAGCCAGAGCCAAAATTAGAATAGACATTATTCCAGCAATAGAGTCATCTTATCGCCATGCATCATGGAATTTTAACGTCGATCTCAGGACTTACCGTACTGTGTCTTTAGTATAGGGATCTTTACTCAGAGTGAGTGAAGACTTATAGGGTCACAGACAGTAGTTTGCCACAGTGTGGATCAACGTAATATTAGCGGCAGAGTCACTTATCCTTTGTAATTTCGGTGAAAGTAAATTCAGGTTGGATGTAAGGTTTTCTAATCCAGTCATAGAGAGAATTCACATTGACTAGGAATGTTTTCAAAAAAGCATATCTTAGCTTTGAAGGGGCTAGATAATTTTAATTGTCACGCACATAATTATCCTGTTTACCCGTGTTGTCTGGAACGCCGATCTAAATCAAAATTTTGAAGGTGGTTTTGCAAACTTCTCGTCTGATATTCATAAAGTACCTAACTTCAAAACATCAGAAAGCCGCTACTACTGATTTGCAACAAATTTTTGAAATCGCTCTACGGACCACCTATTCAAATAACTGTAAACTCACAAATTTGTAAACGGGGAAGACGAAGATGTACATTTGGTATAAAGTTACTAAATTAACCTAGTTCTGTGTCATTGTTATGTCTTTTAAAGGTGGGTCGCCTTGTCAAATATGTGTTCATCCCATCCAGCAAATATTAGAATGACTTCTGTAACAGTCTAGTAGAAATCTGTACATTTTAGTTTACATTGTGAACGTGAAATAACCAAAATTTGTCATTCATGAATCAAAGCTTTTGTTCTAAGCTTTGTCTGAAATGAGCCGAAAGGGGGGAATAATAGAACTGCTCAATATGGGTGGAGCCCACAAGTTCCACAACGCTGGTCTGGCTCTAAGTGTAAGATCACTCCATTAAAATCACGTCAAACATTATTACTGTCTTGCATAGGCGAAGATGTAATATACACAGGAAAACATACTCTCAGCGGCCGCGTTTGACGGAGATTCCCACTCTGTACAACACACGAGCTATATCTACCTCTTTAAGTCCACCTCTCTTCAAAGTATCTGTCGTACGTTTCACCAAATATTCCGCAGTTAACAAATATATAGGAACTATATACAATATACATCTTTGTAGCTTAGGTCTACAATCTAACACTTTAAATTGTATGTGTCACTGAGTAATAGTCAACAGACATTCCAGCATAATGAATGCAATTAAATAACATTCTCTGGCAATATGAAGTACGGTTGAAACCACTGAAAGTAAGATTTGTCAATAAGCTGCCTTCGCTTGTACTTATCCTTATACATCTATGCCATATTTTCTATCGTCTTTACTCTTCATTTCTTTACTTTTCCACATGATATAACAAAACTGACCTCCGAAAAGCCGGCAACAGGAGAAGAGGCTCAGGTAATTTTTAATTGGCCTTACAATAATTTTAAAAGTAGTCCTTTAAAGTTATCAGTAGTTACTGGGTAGTTTGCAGAAAACTATTTTTTGGGAGGGGGATGTTTATATTTGTGGTTGTGGTGTAGTGATTTTTTTTAATGATGCTTATTTTTAACCCGACATCAAACCAACATACCTTTTTTTTTATTTGAAAGCAAGTCATTGACTCACTGAGTGCTGAGCTGTGCAATTTTTATAAGCACGTGTGTTTTCAATTGAAAAATTGGTTTAGAACTATATATATGAAATTGAATGCTTAGTGTCGATCGGCTCTTTTTGCTTGGGAGAGGTCTTCTGTTCAGTAAAACTGTATAATTGCCACCCTGGAACATAGAATTGCACATTCCTTTTTAGCTTATCACATTACTGTACAGTTTTGAAACTTGATCTTTGTGTTGATGTGAATGTTTTGTGTATGATGTAAAAGTTTGGCACCAAGGCCGTCGCTTAACGGAGTATTGTCGTATATATGCTGGTAACTCTATAAAAATTCCCGACACACTAGCAACAAAAAATTGTAAGCTGTGAGAAATTCAGATCAGCCTTTTTCCTTTGTGATAAAACCGCAGTTGAAATTCACTGGATAGATAAGGAGGTAGCGAGGGTTGCTCAGTACGTAAAAACCTAAATTTGAAATCTAACTCATACGCGAAATCTTCTAGGTCACTCCGGTCAAATACCCTGCTGTTTTGGTCCCTCAAAATATTAAATTTTTCAACCGTACAAGCAGCAGAAACCATTCAACATGCTCCGTACAATTCTTCACGATTTTCTTCTAAAGTACTCTAACAAACATAACGCATCTATGCCTACTGTGCACCGTTTCCTTTTAACTTTTTACACGCAGAGTAATAATACCAGTTCTCGTAAACAGACCCGCTCCACGCCAAACCGAAGAGATCTCGTATACAATTCTTTTGCAGTCGTTTCGTTGGATAATGTGAGCCGCCTGCTGTGTTCCGCATGTGTTTCCCTGCTCGTTAAAATTGTTCGTAGCCTAGGTAGTTTCTTTACCAAAGAATAGTGAGACCATTTCTACCATTTTGGGGTCACTATTATTCTGTATTTATTAGAGCAACGGCATGCGGGCAGTGTTTTTTACATACGTTACAATGAAACAAATGGTGTAACTCTGCTCTTTTAGCCAGGCAGCAGATGGATATTAATTGATTATGAATGTATTGTTCTCCGAAAGATTCTAGAGTCTATTTCAAGAGAGAAAATTACTCTTACCAAACGGCCATTTGCTGTCATTATCCCGCTAGACCATCCCTACGGATACACCATGAATATCACGCCCATTTGGGGTCACGAACATCTATCAGGGCAAAGTTTATGTTAATTTAAACACAAACGTCTACCGTTTTTGTTGTGTCTTACGTGCTCGCTTGATCAAATATATCTGTCCTTAACTCCTTCCAAAAAAAGTCCGTCATAATAAGTAGTTGTCAAGGTTTGGTCAGCGTAGGTTGCCTCCATTTGCCAAAGTCTCGTTTCAATCAAGCAAAGTCCTGTTGTGTTTCAGTAGACCCATTGACACTAACGATAAATACTGTCTTGGTTGTAGGTGTCCGTTCATAACCCTGCGCCTGATCAGGTGTTCCTTGACATTTGTCTTTAATACGTCTCGCCTGTGTGTCCGTCAGCCTCGGTATTTTTTGTCCATCTGAAATTCACCTCTTTGTAGTATGTCAGTGCGAGCCCTTCTCTTAAGTCGATCAATTTCTGTCTCTTCGTCATGATGCAGGTATCTCATCATTGTATACATTTCTCTACATTTTCTTCTAACTCTGATGTAAACGGTCGCCTACATCTACATTGCCTTAAAAAACTCATGTGTGCATATACTCATATTGGGGTTTTTGAAAAAGACTGTAGTCAAATACTGTCAGTTCTTTTGGAAATGATGACAACCAGCTGTGCCTTGTGCCCTATGATATTTTTCTTCAAGATAAAACTCAGTGAGGGGAGGTATATTTTATTAAGACAAATCACTCGGGCGTCACTTCGAGTCGTTACAGAAACTTGACGTTAACATGAAATCAAGATCGTGAATCAGACCGTATCAAAATGGCCTAAACGAAATGACAGGGAGACCGTGACTCAGTCTATTCATCAAGACAACCGCGACTTATTTGTCAATGACGGACTGACCTAATTGAGGATTGGGCCTTTCCTTTTTATGTCATCCTAATTAGGACGTGCAGGTAACGAGAGAGAATATTTTTCAAAGATGATAAACTTTTATCAAGTTAGATTAATTTGTACCGCCATCTGTTCTCTTTTCAGTATTTATTTTATTTTAGACCCTGTCCTTTTAAATAGTGTGTTTTTCAGCGAAGTGCACTAATTGTAGTTGTTCTTAAAGTTGGATTGTGTGCTTGTCGTACCTGATCACTTGTTTATCCCATGGCAGTGCACTTTCAGGGAGGTTCATAATGAGTCCCAGGCACCTGTTTTTATTCGTCATATTTCTGGCATGATGGTATTTCATTTATGAATAAATCTAACGGCGAAAAATGTCTGGTCTGTTTCACGGTTCCCGAACTGTCTTAAAAACTCTCGCCTCATACCTAAGTCTGGGTTTCTGTCTGTTTTCAGTATTGTCCGTCCAGTGTCGTTTTGAATAATGCATCGGTCAAACCTTTCTTGAGATAATTTAAATTATTCATCATTTGTCATGAATAATTCACCAGTCATTGGTTCTCACCGAATGTTTCCGTCAGAGTTGAAATATGAAAAGCTATTTACAGAAACAGTAATCGCAATTTCTGTGCCGTTTATTGTACATGGCTGTATGTATATCTACAGATTTAGTGCCAGTTTTGCGTTCTATGTACAAAGGGTCGTGTTTGTTGCACTTAAGATATCAAGAGCGAGGTCAGATTTGTATGTTCGTCATGTGATATAATTGGTAACAATCAAGATTGATTCAGTACTGTAATGCCACTATACCCAACAACTACACGTTTGTACTGCAGTTTGTCCTTCACAGTCAGAACAAACACGACGGGGGTTTTGTTGTTGATATCTCTACCAGAGTTTGTTGTCTATCTCGTTGTCTGGGTCAGGCGTGTAGCCGTCAAGGAAGTAGCATGTACCGGGGATGTTCTCGGGGAAGCCTGATGGAAGTGCCTCGCGTGGCCGAGGAGTAAAAGAGAACCTTCCGGACTTTTCAAGAAGTCTGATTAAAAAGAAAATACATTCCCGCAAATATACCATAAATATTTCTCAAAACTCAAGACATAACAGAGTATTTCTGATAATTTTTATGCCAACAGATCTGCCGTTTGATTTTGCCCTGCCACTCATGAAGTGAACTTAAAGAGAGAAGCAAGACTCGTAAGTATTCTGTTGAATACCTAATATTCTTTTAACAAAAAAATTTCGTGCCAATTTACTGAGTGGCGTGCATCTCACGAAACCATTTGTTTCAAAGCATTTGCAATACACAGAGCCAGTAGTGTCCTAATCCTGTTACCGAGACATGCCACAGGCAGGTCAATTTACTCACTGCTCTCTACACTTTGTTGAATGAAAATTTTTCGCGCGAATGTCCAAGAGTTGCAAACTGGAATCATCAGCGAGCGGGAAAAGGGGTCAGAGTCTCAGACTTGGATGGTTTGTATCGTGCCTCTCAGCCATTATCAGCGTGATTAGAAACACCCGCAAGGATCAGGAAAGCGCAGAGTAAAACGATTGCCGCTGGAAGTCATGACAATGTTTTATTCCTCACTGCTGTGAGTCCTTTGTGCTAATTTTCAAAATAGGGACCACAGGATTTTGCTGCTATTACTGAAACAAGAGAAAAGATAATTTAAAGCTCAGCTCCAAGGTAAATGTGATTGCAGAATAGACTGCTTTCCCCGTTTCAGGTAAATAATGTTCCAGCTCTTTCCCAAGTGGAGGGCATCTTAATTTCAAAGCTAAGGTAATTTATGATGTTCCAAGACTCATCCTGATTCACATTATTATCTTTTGGTTAACATGTGACGTGTTTGTAGGTGGCCCAACAGTTTAAGGCCCAATAGCAATGGTTACAGTCTATAGAAATTCACATATTAACCTGAGATAATAATAGCAGAACATGCTCAAAACATTGATTTGGCCTTGTGTATGGCTTTGTAGTTGTACTGACAAAGCAAGAATTGCATGACTGCCAAACGTGTGAACATATTTCTACATTTTTGCAAAGTAACATCCATTTTCGTCATAATGTCATTTGGGATAATTGAATAATTAAGAAGATTTACTTACTCGTGCGTTGTTGGACTGATGTTAATTCTTAGTGGTTCGCTGTGAGACTCGAATTTGTTAGCTAGCGTGACGTTGTTACCAAAGAGACAATAGCGTGGCATCTGTTTACCTACGATGCCTGCTACTATCGCTCCTGTGTGCACCCCTATTCTCATCTGAAAACAATTCGAAAAATCCCACAGTCCCTTAAACTCAAGTTCACTTTAATTTCAAGCTAATTCAATTCTGTTGAACACCTCACGATAAGAGAGAGTTTGGCTATTTCCGTCATTATGGATGATTTCAAAGAAATTCCTGAATTCTGGAAATACACATGACGTGTTGTTTCCCCTGAATGCATCCTTTTAACTTAAACACACGGCAATGCCTTATCATTATGTGAAATTACTCATTACCCTGGGGCTAGGTCATTGCTTGGATAAAAATCAGGCATTAGTTGAAGTTCTCTGGAGCCTTTGGAAGAAATCCCACACCGTTAACTCAATCAAATATGTTAATGTCTGTTAATGCTACCGTGTAATTAGGAACAACAAACTAAATTAACGTTGTCAAATTTCATTGTAATGTCCACATTATTGACCCGCTACAAGAGACACTTCAAGAAACCGATGAGCCTGTTTTATTCCAAGAGGCCAACTGAAGATATCAAGCATGACGCGAGACCGGAAAAGATCTCACGGGTAATTCTTGTCGATGATACGCTAATTAAATAGCGAAGTCGCCCGCAGGGGCGGTGTTTCCGCCACTTACACGATGCTTGGTAGTCGAGGAGACAGAGACGGAATAAAAGTCTTGTGCGTTGTTGAATCTCGTCTTGGATTTTGTTTCACGCTCGAACCTGGCATGTAATCATCCTGAACGATCAGCTTGATTTATCACATGCATGTTCAGAGACTAGAATCTCAATCTTGAGCGTCGTTGATTGCTCAGCTCTTCCGTTCAATTGCAGAGTCAGCATGTTATCAGAGTTAGGCTAAATTAAAGCTGAATGTGAATAAGGTTGTTGCTCTTTTTCTCTGAAGCAAAACCTTATTGTGAAATTTTCTAAACATTGAAGCTCTGTGTGCTTGTCACACTAATAAAATGTGGCGAGGAAGACATTATTAAATTCTGTTTGAAAGCAATTAATCGTACTTTCAAACATTAAACAATCATGACAATACCTTCAGCGGGTTGCCGTCATGTGATTTTACAGTCCTTGCTGCTTCCATCATTTTCAGCGCCATTTTGGATACTCTCTCAGCATGCGTACTTGACGTCCGGTGAAGACCACCGGCTACGCAATATGCGTCTCCAATTGTTTCAACCTGATGACAAAAAGAAGTTAAAAGATAATCAAATACCCTTTTTATTTGTAATGTTTGTATTAAATGTCAATGTCCAAACCACATGGTATAGGGGCAAGGAAGACTTGAAATTTTTTTGTCACCGTTACTTAACATGTTACTCAACTATTTTACTGATCAGTTTTGAATAATCGTTGTAAACGTCAAGGAAATGGAATCTAATGCAGCTTTTATATAACTGGACATTGAGTAACAAACTAATCCTGCTAAAACTACGTCCAAAACCTGCAATATAAAAAAGAAACAAAACGCACAAAAACATAATTCATTTGAAAATATAGGAATTAAAAGTTGTAATGTTATGAGAGATTGAGAGAGAGAGTAACACTCCACTTGATGCTGTAATGGTCATGTCATAAAAGAGGCCTGCGACTTTCAGTAGAATAAAGCCAAAAGCCTATGTAGGAATATCAAGATGAAGTCCATCTACTGGAGATGGGGTATTCGAATTTACAGTGTATTTTATAATGGCTTGGGGCAAGACAGCTGTTGTAACACGATTCGGTGGCAAGTTAGCTTCCATCGTGCAGTGAAAATCAATGGCAGAGCCTCTAGCCCCGTCAGATTTCCCGCGTTAAATTCCCGTGCTTTTTATGTGCACGCTCCAATCGGACGCCCAACTTAATGGATACAGGTGTCCCTCGATATACTATACCAACCACGATTTGCGATGAGGTTTTCCCCATCCAGAGTCAATCATATCGAGCTACGGTACAGCCCTCCTGGCTGGGATAATATTAACAAATAAATGAAGTCTGTTTTTTTTTTTTTGTACGTGATCCGGGTTACATTGCTGTTCTACAGTGTGACTGCATTCTTCCCCACGGTTGCTACGGAATTGGCAGGGGTGTGATTTTTATCAGTGTGTGCCGCCGTTGGGAATGCACACGTTATGGGTTACCGATCTGGTTTATAGATTCATGTGAGACCAAAGATAATTATCTTTTTTCATTTAGGGAAAGTTCGAGTTAAAGTTTTTTTAAATTTGGAAGACAGATGAGAGCAGTTGATGGAACTGTCATTTCCAAAGTAGCAAGTTTTAGGTATCGTAATAGTACCTATATAAATGCATTGCGGGTTTTCCTGTTGCTTAATAAATATAACACGAATCAATAGTTAGGAACGCAGATATATTGTTTGTGCAAGAAATGAAAGTATTTGTAGTGACCATCGTAACTTATAGGATCAGTTATCTATTTTTTCCACAGTGTGTTTGATATATTTATTTTTCTAGCCGTGAGCATGCCGTTTTACCTTGTAGATGTCTAAGATTCCACAGAAGTCGTCGAATTGCGTGTAGAGTTTATTCAACATGCCGATGACAGTGAAGGGCGTACAGTTCGAACAGATGGCTGTGAAGCCAACAATGTCAGAGAAGAGCATGGTCACGTGGTCCATGTTACTTGGTGCCAGCACTTCCCCAGCCCAGAGCTTCTCGGCCACGTCTGCAGGGAAGATTAGATTCAGCAAGTCCACATTCTTCTTCTTCTCCAACTCCAGCTGATTTCCGGCTTGCAGGATGCGAGCTTTCAGCTTATCCATTCGTTTCTTGAGGCCGTCCTGGGCCTTGTTTTGTTCGCCTACTAGGATCAGGTCCCTGGTGGCATCATGAATGGGGATATCAGCTAGGTACAATCCCCTCCCTGTCAGTTCCTCTAGGTTGCCCACCTTGGGTGATCCTAGGAACAAAATGGTATCACTCTCAGGGATGTGAATCATCTGTCCTCGCACCGTAGTCCCCTGTGGAGGAAGAGGACAAGCAAACACTGCCGTCACTATTTTCAACCACCATGCCATTGTTCCGTAAACTAGATCTACACCCCCCCAGAGCGTCCCAGTTTGCACAGAATATATGGATATGGCTAAAATCAATATAAGTTTCTAGGGTACTTTTAATGAAGGTGTAACCTGTAGTATCGGGCACCAATAAATATCTCTCATGAGATATCTAAAGTGCCCCAACTTCCTTTAAGAGCCGTTTTCATCTAGGTTCAGATCAACTCATTGGTTTCAGGGTTTCACGGGATCAGTCAATTAAGGAACGTGCCTCCGGCAGTTTAAAGCCTGCTGGTGTCCTAATAATGTTTGGATTTCAAAATGAATACCTTCCCAAAAAAAGTCCACGATTTCCAGAACTTACGGCGTGGTATTCAAATATGCACAGTGTAGGTAGAAAACGGTAGGTTCTATGAAGAATTTATTGTTCGTAGTAGGATAATAGCTCTTTTGCAATTAAAATCTATTTAATATAAAATGGAGTAAATTTGTATTTTACTTTTATCGAAAATGGATAGTTTATCAAAGGCATAATTTCCCATATTATCGCCAAGTAAATAAACAGAATATACTAAATTAACTGCATACAGCATTGTCCGTTGTTAAAAATGTACACTCTGTACATTGTACACTGTACAGATGGTTTGCAAAGGTCCAGTCAACTTTCTGATTTAACTTAAACAAGGATGAGATTGGAACGGGTGAATCATCTCGATGATAGCCATACGCATGACTATGAAGTCAAAGTTGAAACGCGGATTGAAGCGACAAGACAGCCGGACGCATTTAGAATCGTCGGGGGACTTCATTCTGTGCTCTACGCAAACGACGTACCTGGACATATCACTCGAAATTCCTTCAATTCTTCTTTAAATATTTTCGGCTGCACAGACAAATCAAATTCAAGTAGTCACTCTTCAGATGTCATATAACCCCACTGACATCACGCCATCTCTACTTTTTTCTTTGTGTGTATGGTGACGTGACAGTTGAAAATATTTGCTCTTTAGTATTCTGCAGAGTAAATAGCAATTCAGTTGGCCTAGTTCCATCACAACTGTCAACCAATCACGTCATCAGAAATGGCTTCAGGAAGTTTCTTTAAAATTCAGTACTTCAGATTTGGCTATTTTTACAGTCTTCAGAGTTATCCCTCTAAATTCAGTTTTTTAAATGATGGATTCCTCGTGCAAAAAAACCTTGTTAGGACATGGCACAGAGGTGTTAATGTCTCAATTTTCTGACTTCAGAAGTGGAAAGGTTAAATCTAATAGGCCTACATCACACTGTTCTTTTTGATCATATTACAAATTAGAGTCAAGGAGAAATGCACAAAACCTGCTTTAAGTAAGTATGCTTGTGGTAATAACATAGCATTAGAAGATGCCTCGTGGGTGCATAATGTGACGAGAAAACACTTGACCACAATCACGTAGGGTATAATGAATGATGGCATTTGAAAATAAAGACGATAACGGTGGTGCATATTGTTCAGATCACTGTGTGCAGTGTATTGGGAATATTATTATCACCGAAAACAGTTCTCATAACGTATGTTTGCGCGTTGAAAGCCACAGTCTTGTTAAATGCTGGAATGAAACAGATCCTTCCCCACGCATCCTGAAGTGTGCACAGCCCATGCCAAACTCTGAACTCATGATGTTATACTGACGTAGGAATGGCACGTCATCTATCATCCCCTTCCGAATCTAGAAAATTTTGGATTTCATTAACCCATTTTCTATCAGGCAGGGGAAAATAAATTGAATAACATTCATCTGAAGGTCGCTGATGAACGGTTGAGGTTTTTTTTTTGTTCCACATTGAGAGGGGTAGTGAGTGATATTTTGGCATGCATTTAATAACATTGATGACTGTCACGCTGTATGGTTTGGCACACTGTACTATTTGTACACTGACGCCATTAGGGCCGTTGACTGTCGCCCCTATGTCCCCCCCTCAGTTTCATGCACAGTGATTGCCAACAAACTGTCAAAATGGTATCAGGCTTTCTGTAAAAAACAATTGCTATTTCAAAATCCTTAAAATCCCTTGGCCAGCCAGTAAGAAGAGGTGTATCTACGCTATTTGCAGCCATTGATATCCCAAGAGAGAACGGTTGGTTTATCAGTTGGCCTTGGTAATGAGTTGTGATATCAAGCCTGGGGCAACGGGCGCAAGGCAATACGTCATGTGTCAGTAGGCATTTGGCATACCTTGCGCTTTGGTAACCCGTCCATGGCCATTGAGCTTGGCTGACTGTCGCCAGTCCTGTCAGCGAGATAAATTGGCCATGCGAAAAGATCTTTTCAATGGTTTAATGCATCAGATTGGGGTAGGTGTGATGAACTATTGGACAGTTCGTCTTCTCAGTCACAGTAAAGATGCCTTAAAACGGAATAAAATAACCTTGAATTTAGCCTTTCGAATAATCCTTCACTACTTGTTCAAGTACCGGTATCTGTGACTTCTTTTTATCCCAATTTATCAATGATACAGCGCCCTCTACTGACAAAACATGAAGCCATTATTGACCGCTACACTTCTGGCGATTCTTTGCATGATGACATTCAGATCAGATTACCCTCCAGCATACCTCGGGCGATATGGAACTGTTCAGGTGATGAACATCACAAAGGTCGATTGTTGTTGCGAAGACTGTAATATTTAAGTAGCTGGATCTATGTGTACAATATCTCGGATTAATGTTTCGACTTTTTCCAGTCATGGCCATGAACAAAATGAGCTTAACAACGAATGAACAACAGCGATTTTCCCTATCCTATATTGATGGGGATTTTGTAAATGTCGTTATTAAAAGGTCTGTAATATGTGGAGATTAAAATCTGGGCGTTGGGTTTGGACTGGAATCGCCTCAGCGACTTATTGCACCTGCCGACTGCTGTCTGGTTTCACACCGTGTCTCCTTCTGGTACCACACTTAATGAAATTTCTGACATCTTTAATATTTAAATAAAACCTGCCCCAGGAATAGGAGAGGGTGATCCCATATATCAAGCAACAGAGATGTTGTTAAGAAGTCCATGAATTCGTCAAACAGTGTTATATACATGTTGCATTTTTTCTGACTGTGACTTACAGAACTTCAGAAGGCAACTTCTATTTTAATACCTTAATTCTTTCACGCTGCTGCATCGACAGATAAAATGTTCATGACAGCAGATATAATTATACTATGAAATATTGTGTGAGGTGCAAAGCCTGTCAGCAGCAGCTATTATCTCAGCCACACCTTAGTAGATCACATTTCAGTATCACAAGCTTGTAGCCTTTATTAATTGGCATAGATTTTTCAAATTACGTGTATAAAAGCTGTTTTGGCCAGGTGTACGTTAATTTTGAACTTACCTCAGTTGTTCCATCTTTTGACTTTGTCGATAACCCAATACCCGTCGACTGCAAGATGAAGGACTTGTTGATATGCCCCAAGACCCGGTCAAAGGTTACGGGCTGGATGTCGGGCGACAGCACCTTGAAATAGGAGTTGAAGTTGAGTCCATTGCTTGAGGCACGTGAGGAAAACATCCGCATAACCGTGTCCCCCACCTGAAGAATGGTCAGCTGTCGATTGAACATCACATGGAAGGGGAAGGCAGCGCAGAAGGTGGAGACACTGATCTTAGAGGATAGGTGTCGTGGGGAGGTAGCCCTGTCTACCGTGCCGTTCTGCAGGTTCTTGGTACCGTTCCTCTGGTCGTCTAGTAGGGGTTGTATAGCATAAACACAGTGGTCACAGCCATGACCCCTCTGCTTGACCAGTTCCACCTGCACGAAGGTATTAAAGAGCAAGATGGAGGCCATTCTGATCTGTCCCATCATGCTTAGCTCCAAGCTGTGACTTCTGGTGTAAAAGTGAAGAAGTAGCATGCCGTCTGCTTGTGTTGAACATCGATAGGACGGAGTGTGAGACTTCAAGACCAAATATGCAAAGAAAGGCAAAAGGTTGATCAGGCAAAAATACAAATAAATAAACAATTTCACGGTTTGTATAAAGTATGGTCCACAGGTACTTTGTTTGAACTCAATTGAATAAGATAGCCAGGGAAGGAAAGGTTGTTTTATCAGTACATATCCAGACTTGAAATATTGGAGTGGGAGTTCCATCACACGTTTCACTGCAATTAACAGTCTGTGAAACCCACAATATCATTGCAACTAGCTTACAAAACCATTTGTGCTTTGCCTAGTTGGACGGTATTTCTCACCCTCAAATGTTCCTCGTTGATAACCCCTTGAGCTAAAATGTGCTCGTAGAAACCATCAATGTTTCCATAAAAATCAGCCAATGTGCCCCCAAGGGACCCAATGACGGCACCATACCGCTCGAAACACAGACAGAAGAACTCCTCTCCAAAACTGTCCATGAGTTTTCGATATTCCAATCCTGAAGGATACAAAAACATAATGACATGTTTCAAAGTAAAGCCTTTTACCATAAGGTTTCTTTGAGTTGTCAGTTACAAGAACGTTTGTTTCTGCTACTTAAGTCGAAAAGATAATAGTATACATGTATATACAAAAGCCTCGGCCCCAACAGACTGACATCTACTTTTATTAAATTGCTTTCTGCGTTTTTGCGCACCCTTGTAATATCCCATGGTGATCACGACATGTAACACAGCAATGAACAATATTGCGTTGATGTAATGCTCAAAAGCTTCTTATGTTTGCTAGGCTAGTCCTAATCATTCATATTTAACGATCACATTTTTGCACTTGACAGAATTTGGATAACTGTGATTCTCCGATAACTCGACCACCTGTTATACAATCTTGCTAATGACAAAACGATCCATACTGACGCTGATTAAGTCCACAGCGCGCCGAGGCTATCGTGCGTATATGTTTCGTTATAGATGGTTACTTCGAAGGGTAATTTGGCCAATGGTCGGTTGCCATATAAGGGGTCGTCAAGTTTCATTGTATAAACGTATTCAAAGTCGACGAGAAAATGGAAGAGATTGTGGAAAACCTCGTGCTACTATAAACTTTCAGGTTTCCCTATGCTAAATATGTAACGTTACAACCTGATTTCCATCCTGGTAAAATGAAACTTAATATTATAAAACAGAAAACATAAAGTCGGGATGTAGCCTGCCTTTTTGTTTGGCTTAAAAATGTGAAGTCAATACCCTTGTGGTGCAGTAGCACCACCTTTGTGGTGCATTAGCAGAATTTTTCCCTTCGCTGTACGATATTTACTTGCTATACATGTATATGAAATACACTGAGTTTTTCTAGTCAAGGTAGCGTATGCATGGATGAGATGTAAATAAATCAAAATGATTTTGATCTCATCCATGTGTCTAATTGAATTTGTCTTTTAATATTGTAGCCCAGTTTCGGGTTCCTTACACCTGTCGGTATCACCGAGATAGAGGTTCTTAAAACGATCGTTATCCGACTCTGTCACCTCAGTTGGGGCTGGGATGGTAGGCTGTGAGATGACAGCTGAGTCCATAAACTTAAAGAGGACGTTATGTCTCAGGAAAATGTCACATGAAAACCACTCCCTCTAGCGATTGTTTGTATTTCTTAGGTGCCTTTCCTTCGGCAAAGTTTGGGCAATACCACTGGCAAGTAATGATCAGAATTTTTCCGTAATGACCCTGCTTGGCAGTATTAAAAGAGTCAATGTTTTTCATCTTCAGTATGAATGTGAGTTGCATGTTGCACGGAGAATTTCATGGCTGATAGTTTTGTTATATAAGAGCAATTGGGTTTAGATAATTACCGAAATGTAACATGCTCTCAAGAAATTAGTTTTACATTTATTTCCAATAAGGCCGCCGCTTCAACGCTCCCATCTGGCTCTCTGTAAGATCCATGGATTGTGACAGAGAAGAACATGAAGCCGAATTTCACCATGCTATGATACAGAACCTCGTTGAAAGGAACTTGCCGAAGTAGAACTCAACTGCCAGTGGTGAGTGCAGATGTCAAATTTCACTGAATTTTCGATTAGTTGTGAGACTGGGAGAACATATCACTTCTCCACTGATCTATTCCTTGTTATTACAGTTATTGAAAAAATGATTAATGCCATTGATGATGGGATCATATCCTGTGAACCGTACTGCTATAGGGCATGTGATAAAAGTACCGTTAAGCTGGGGTGATGGTCACAACCATATTAGTGTAACCTTGCGGATTTAATTTACATCTCATACATCTAACACTGCATGATAGAGTTTCGTTGTAAGATCTGCTCTGCATGTATGGTCATGCACACAGCCAATAGCGTTCCCTGTAACGACGCGAAAGTCACGTTCTGTTTTCTCGCCCCTTCCCTGTGCTTCGTGCCACTAGACTGCGATTAACCAAAGCGCTTGTCGGTCTTATAAACACGCCAGAGACTGTCCTGAACAGAGGGGGAAGACCGCATGACACCAATATTGAAATGTTCCCCCTCGGCACCGCCAATTAAATGAAAACGGAAGGTTCAATCCACTGATGGCGGGCGAAATGCCAGGTTGTCTATATGCCCTATGTTCAAGTGTTCTCTACAAGAGGGGAGGCAGACCTGTCGGTTGAACAGGGAGATCATGAATAAATGGATTCTATAAATCCCCAAATCAAAAATGAAAGCAGTCTTTCTTGCTGAAATATGGGTCAGTGAGTTTCTATTCTAAATTCAATCTTCCTCTTGCATACCCTGCTCAATCGATACAAAGATAATACAGTAGCGCGGCTATACCTATACTTGGTACAAGCATAGACTTCAAGGATTTTCAGTCGTAGATATGATCTGCAGTGCAAAGAGTCCCAGAGTGAAATTGTCTCCTAATGACGTCATTTGACGCTGAAAATGCGCGTCATCCTTTACTCTTCCCATTTTTAAAATGTGTGCAAAGAGTGGCTAGGCAGGCTTTAGTGACGATCGAGGATAGTCTTTATTCAGGCATATCTGCACGTCCGCCTTTTGCCCGTCTGATACTAGTCAATATCAGGTTGCCAGATACGCTGCCAAGCGAAGCTTCTTCAATATTTGAGAAATTTAAATCCAAGAAAAAGAACTTGTCCTTTAAATTTGTTCGGGTTGAGATTTTAAAGGTGAGAGATCCTTTAAAATTGCAATGGTTGAAATGTTTCCTATTTCCTTCATCCATAAAAAACACAAAAGTATTCAAAACTGTTCTTTGATAAGCAACAGAACTGCAGAATTCCTGGTTACTATTTCTAATTAAACTCAATCGAGGATTCAATATGCATCCATTCAAACCTTTTGGCTACTAACAAACAGAGGACTAAAAGATTATTTTGATCTCGACTGTTGTATTTTGGTATGCCTCCTGCTTCCTTGCAAGTTCCACATCACATTCACACTTCACAGTGATCACAGTCATTACACATTTTGCAGATTCTGTAAATTACCATGCGATGGCGAAAATAAAGATTTATAACAAAGCATGACCATAGAGAATCCACCCGATTAAAGTTATTGTTTCAAACAGCTTATCTCCTAGAGGTGACGTTTTACGTCATATTTAAGCAGCTAGCCCTTTTAAATGGGACGATGTTCAAGAGTAGGCACACAAGATTATATGTATAGACTCTTGGCTCGTGCCTTCCCAGTTGGGGTGTAGGTAACTTCAGAGTACTTAGCATCTTCAGCGACATTCCTCGCGTTCTCGGCGGTCCAAAACCGATTCTATCCCCGCACCGCGTAGGCGCCAGATCCCACCGTGGACTGGGGCACCCTACCGACCCTCCCAGACTCGCGTAACGGCATTGGAGACTGAAGATGATTTATCAACAGAGTATTTTCCTTTCGAAGTGAAAGCACCGAGAAACGGTTATCTTTTTGACGGGAGTCGTTGACGTTCAGTGGGATCTTAACTGCAAAAGAGCGTGCTACTTGAAGGTTGCACTTTCTTTGATGAGCATAATATAACGACCACGCGCTGCGGGGCAAATTAGTTTGAACACACTAGTCGTCTTTCAAAAACAGCTATAGGGTGAAAAACATTTGCATCTTCATGTAGTTCTCTTGCAGACCAGTGATATATTTGCCGATGTTTGTACAGTGAGAGGGATTCTAACTACCGATTACAGAGATACTTCCTTAGCGGTCAATATTGGTCATTTGATTTCTAAAGTCACCCGTGCTCATGTTGGAAATTCAAATTTATTCATTTTCACCAACATAGTTTTACCTCTAAGGAGTTGAATCCTAATAATACAGGGAGAAACACAAGATAATTTGGTATTAACTTTCAACTTTGCTCACTAATTAAGCAGATTAAAAAAGCAATGGTGTGAACCAAATTTTAATAAAGAGTAATTGTGAACAGGAATGAAGCATGGACTAGGAAAGGATTTTCGGGAGGTTTAGGTGAGCATGCTTACCTAATATGGAAGCTGCTTTGTGTGTTATTTGACATACATAACCCTCGTCGAACGGTTCATACTCTGGTTCCTCCTCATCCCCGACCTGGAAGTCATGTAACCCTAACGTTTTTCTGTCAAAAAAATGACGGTTAAAGGACACAGTCAGGAAAATAAGATTATGTTAAGCGCAATTCAGAGCAATACTAGTAAGTAACCTTAAATTTTTCGAGGGAGACAAATAGGGTTTTCTCGATATTTCGAAACGTTTTTGTTCCAGTTCACAAGCTGCATGTACAAATTCGCATAATACCTCTTTTAAGTAGTGTGGAAGCGTTTTCATTTGGGGTTGTGTTTACTTACATGAATTTATCAACGTCTGTTCTACCATGAGTGCACACAATTCGGTGCAATGTTTGCCGCACAAGAGCCATCTGAAAAGAAACAGTTTTGTTGTTAAAATGAATATTAAGGCAGAATTTTAATGCAACATTAGGTGGTCGCTTCATTTAAGCTTTGTAGTCTTATCTTGGTATATTCATCTGTGACCAGCACATTGCTCGTTGGCCTCGCTTAAAATCACGATATTTGACCTAGCTTAAGAAACTGCATGTTTTTAGCAAAACACTTCATCTTAAGGTGTACGACATAACGCTGTCACATTACAACGTGATACTCAAAGTTATATGGTTATATACATGTATGTATTGCCCTAGAGGGATAACGTTTATATAAAGCCCCAGAACTTCTGTCAGAATATCGTTTAAGGTAAGGAAGTTGAGTCTTCATTTTAAAACTTCTGGTAGTGTTTGATAAATAGCATTTTCTAATATTTATACTTTATTTTGGAATTGAATACGGGCATAGAAACCATCTTCACAACATTAAGTGGAAATCTTTTATGGGTAATTATAATTTGGAGTTACACGCTCGATCGCTTCACAAGTGCAGGTCTACAGGTAGCACGATCATTTTCCTGAGATGTCTTACTACTGCTCCATAAATGCATGAAGTTAATCTTGAAATGGCCGAGGGTGGAATATGTTTCACGCTTCTTGTCAAATGCAACCAATTCGATAATTTTCCCCGCGATTTCTGTTTGACTGGCGCGAAAACTGAAACATACGCAGATCCCCACGAGGCCTAGTGGCTCCATCACAAACGCCCGTATTGCTCGTTAGTAACAAGGCGTGATGAAGTCAATTTGTTGCATTGATCCAGGTGTGCGTTGGGGCGCTATAGTGGGAAAACCCCAAGGGTTTAAGAGGGGTGAATCTCCAGAACAGCACGAAAAGGGTACGAAGGAAAATATGATTTGGAGTTTCACGCTCGATCGCTTCAATCATTATGTCTTTGTAAGATTGACAGTCTGAATATAATGTGTGAATTATACTATGTGTATTTACCATTTTTCTTGAAGATCTTTCCTCTTGCCTTATCCAAAGTAAACCAAATTCTGTATACTGCGATAAATTTCTTTGGCATAGTTGATTTGTTTTAATACCATTCGCTTATTGAACAAGTATGCAAAGGGCTACCACGCTGGCACTAAAACTAATTTCATTTCCAGGATAGAGTCAAGTATAAGTGGCATCCAACCCGCAGGTTTTCCCATTGAATGCTCATTAATACAACAGCGCAAATCTGCCAAGTCTTGCAGTTTATTTGATCAGTTTCCATCAGCAACAGTGCGAGTCAATCTTGTTGATTAGCTCACGTGTACCACGGGGAATTAACGGGCACGTTGCCGTCGATTAACGTACCATTTGCACCGAGTGACGGTAATACTTGTAGGTTACGTTAAGCACTCCTATGGGAATACTCGTTAACCGTCTTTTGATTGGCTTTCCTATAAAATTCCGAACACTACTGAAAAAATCAAATGCTCGAAAGTCGCTAGGCATCAGAGGTGATTTTCTTTATAAAGATGAATTGAACATTGATAATCCAACGACCAAACATAGACATTATGTAAAAAAGTTTCCGTGTCCCCGAAGAACGATCAGTTTACAAAGTCGAAGTCATCATAGTTATTACAATGAAAACGAGAGATATCTTTGAATGTTTGAATATACATTCTCTACGATTTCCAAAATGCGTGTGGATAGAGCACCAAGAGTGAGACGCTGCCACTACCTGTAAGACAGAGTTGGAGTGAACGGAAATGACCGATGTCTCGGCCAAAGCACTATATCATCACAGCGGTCAAGGGAACAGGTTTACCTCTCGCGCCTCAACAACCTTGTGATCTTTTCCAGTTTTATACTCCCGCAGGGGCATCGGATCAAGCCAGCAAAGTTGCAAACCTCACAGCGTTCAACTCTCAAGCTCCGGCTGCAGATGCTCGGCTAAAGCGCCCCGTGAATGGGGAGTGTTTTGAAAGTTGCCAGTAAATTTGCTCAACCGTAATCTGATTTGACGGGCATTACTCACAGGTCACATTTAGTGATGTCCCGTAAAAAATGGAGGCGCTAACTATAAAGTGTTTGATGGGCCATTCATTTCAAGTCCATAGCAAGGAAGGAAAAAAATCCTTACTGTGGACAGCGTAGGGTTTAATTACGTAGTTTTTAAAAATGAAATTTAGGTTTCTTGATTAACATATATTTCTTATGCTCCACCCTACAAATCTAACACACAGGTGCTTGTACATAATGTTATTAGTATCAAATAGGTCAGCATAACACAATATGTTTATTAATATAGGTCTTTATGGTTAAATCAAGGAAAAGCTGTGATTATTGTCAAGGTAGTGTAACAAATTAATATTTTGTCTCTAGGATGAGTTCTGAGTTTCGTGCTCTTTACGGATCTCCCGTTAAATGCATGCGCCTGATTGGTCTGATTGGTGATCCATAGTCACTCCATATCATCCAAGGTCACGTTTGGGGCTTCTGGTCAAATTTCCAGACCCGTGAATGTTTCGGGAAACGTTTGTAAAATGAAAACTGGTCCTCTTACTCTCAGAAAAACCACCTGCGTATCAGGTTATCTCACCAGGGACTTAAGTATCCATACAAGAGTATTTTGGCCAACTTACAATCGATTTTGCTAATTCTCGATTATAAATATTTTAGAATATTATGTAACTGCGTAATTTTGGCAATTTCCCGTTTTGGTCTTGCGTCCTTATGCAAGATGAACAGTCTGATACAGTCGAACTGTTCATGGTTGGAGAGTCACCTTCACGACCTGCTGTCTGACATTGGCCATAAACATGTTTTCGAAAATAACGTGCCATCGCAGTGCGAGAATGTTGTCAACCAATATTCACCTCCGGTGCATATTTTTCCGTCATATCGCATCGATTGACAGCCAGACTGCTGAATCTTCTTCAAAGTGTCTTTTTTCATGATCCACTAACAAAAGGAAAACCCGCGCTTTTTGTTCACCATTGATCAACCAGCAGGAGACACAAGGCTAACAGATAAAAAACCGCCAACTACAAATTTGCTTGACCTAGATCTGTTACACAGGGGGGCTCCATACACCTATCAAACACGTATTCGAGGGACCTCTCATATGACGTATCCACACTAACATTGCCGATCGTGATACAACAAAACACCAGCCGGCTTCGTCGTCTGTAACACGATCACACGGTTTGGGAACGTAGTTTCTCTTTTGATTCGAAAATGATTTCAGTGAAATGCTACACCCACGGAGAAAAGAATGAAAACAAGGGAGAGGGAGGTAAAGACGATCATCGCTGGGGTTGTCTTTGAATAGAAATGTCTCACAATGAACCTTCGGGCGGGGGGGGTTCGTATACGCCCACAACGAGGGATTCCTGGTTATTAATAAATACGGATTCTGTTGTCGTAGTCTTACAGGCTTGTGTAAATCTGTGGTTTAGACATGACCTTTCCTCTCTCATTCTCTGCTGGAATAATATCTGTTGTGCGGGTTTGGTAACAAAGACGCGTACATCTTCAGGCTACTTTGATGGACGAACAAATAAATGATTTCATTCTTTTATTCGCTACATAGCAGCAACTATTTTCAAGATTCTATTAATTTCGTATGAGATATCGTACAAGGCTAGGATGTCGCACAGCGAAGAGAACTGTCTCCGAAGTCAGCATGCTACTGGAGACCATGTGTGATAGACAGTTTGAACACTGAGGGAACAATGAAACGAACAATGCTCAAAATAACAGGTTTCGCTGTCTCCCTTTTAAGTTATATTACCCACGAAAACATCATAAATGTATTCAATCCGGGAAAAATACTTTCTGCCCATGTTTAAAAGAGTAATTTAACACTTTTAGTCACTTTAATCGTTTTAGAGTCCATTCTCTCAAAATTTCTATCGGTTCTCTTAGAAATTGCAAAAGCGCTATGTTCGAGTACACGGAGGTGAATACATTTTGAGGTGCAAGCTGGAAGACCTGTACGGGGGCAAATTCAGCCGTTCTTTAGAGTAGCAGTCTCCTTGGATTACCCGTGCGCTTTTCTGAGTTTCCTTGCGCGCGATGATTGCATTAACTCGCAGGTGCTTTATGTGGAACCAAATGGAACGGGACTCATTATGATCAGGTGGAATACGTAATCGACCGAATAAACCGAATATTTCACTTAGCAGCTTCCGTAGAAAGTGAATTCGATGCAATATCTGAATCGGCTGGACCCCATGGGGCAAGGTCAAGCCGTACTTTTTTTCTTACAGTGTCTGCTACAAGTGGTGGGGTTACCACAGTCCTCCTCTCGGGGACGAGTTACTTCCTGCGCTGTCACTATGGTTTACCTCACATCCAACCTGCGAAGAGTCGACCCGTTAACCAGAAATGGTTTCGATGCGTACCTGAGATTGTAATGCCGTCTCCAGAAAGTTCAGACTGATTTTTTATTGAATCCCTTTTTCGATTTAATCCAATCACTCGTACATATCATACTCGTACATATAATTTCTGGACCAAAAGAAGACTGCAAATAATCTACTGTACTGTAAAGGAGTGCAGTCAGAACGAATCTTGCACACTATCAAACGGAAAGGTTTTCAGATAGTGATCTTAAACCTGTGAACACCAATGTGCGTCAACAGCTCCTTGACAATATATCGACGACCGGCCTAGCAACTTGTTCGGTTTTCTTCAAACCCACTGCGCTTTCCGAAGTGCGCAATTCTCTCGCAGTACGCGACCAAGCTCCTGTGCTCGTGTAATTAAATTTTCGAGAAGAGAGATAGAGCGATTAAATTATAAAATCGGAAATCCTTGAGAAGTCGTTTTTTGCCGGGTAGATTTCCCGTTTCTGGATGTGTAAGTCCATTATCGGCAATTGGACTTGTGGATTTTGGTACTGCCTTCACAATGGCGCCAGGTTTATTTTGGTCTTCTTATTTCCCCCGCGCAAAACGTCGAGAGGATCGGTGTTTGCGTTCTGAATCAGAGAACAATTTCCGTCATATCAAAATTAATTGAATCTGCGTCGG